AAAAAATTGGAAACCGTAAAAATATTATTTGAAACACGCATTATTATATTATTATACTTGAGCCGTAAACGACGTGAACGTTCCATATTATTATTACGAAACGTTCGGTAAGAGGAAAAAAATGTACATTATTACACGTCGTACATATAACTGTACTAACTGCACTGCGTATTCATCCATTGTCGCAACGGTAACCGGTGGTGTCCGTCAATCAAAGCCAATTTACTATATAGTTCCGTCGTCCCTCGTGCCCACTCGTCGCCGCGCCTGTGTGCTCACTTCACCACCATGATGATCTGTATAGCGATGACGATTTTTTTTTTCACTCCGATATTGGCATACTATAATAATATAATAATATAATGTATGCTATAGACAAGACGTGTTTTGTGCTATAGCGGAAAAGAAATAATAAAATGACAAAACCAAATCGCCGAGCGTCTATTATTATTGCTGTAGTGTGTCACTGTATATTATATAGTCTCAAGTCTATATTATTGCTGCAGGATTCCAGTTCACGTAATATAATAATATGAACGGTCACTAGTGTCGGTGAACTATTCTGCACTGCGGTATTATACGACTGCGGCGGGTATATTGGATAATAATGTAATAATATTATACAGTCGTCGAAACTCGAACGATTCCCAGTTTGAGACCTTATAACCCTAACCCTATCTAATAGATATATTATATTGTACGGGGAGGTGTGCAGGGAACATCTCGAGTGTTATATTTTATACTAAACTTAGACGTAAACTCCTCGTCAGATTTTTGCTACACACTGTGTATATTGTGCGCTCGCGTGCAGTGGATATAACTAATAAGAATATAATACATATAATAATAAATGGCAAATAATAATGACCGATACCTCGCTTATATTATAATATTACGTATATTGTATTTATATGATATAAGATGCGTATTAAATAGACAATAGTAAATGGGCAATTACCGTACACTCGTCACTCGTGCCGGTGTGTATGCATTTCAACCGGCGATGCGTTTTATGAACACAGAACAACACACGACTCTTTACATATTAAGATACTGTGTATTATATTATCATTATTATTATATACCTCCTAATAACGGGAATGGAAACGATAATTAAAGACAATTTAAAAACAACGTACATGCGTCATATACACGCTGTTTTGTGTGTAATTAATGCGGTTATAGTACTATTATATCCTCGGCAGCTAGACCGCTGCTGATCGGATTCAATTACGCACCATACTGCTAAGTGTGTTTAAAATATATTATATTATCTATTATTATAATAGGTATACTTATCTCGGGGTTTTATGGTCAAAATGCAAATTATATAGTCGTAAACTAATTAATAATTATTATTGTTGTATAACGCGTTAAAAGAGAAATGATTATCCGCGTATAATAGGACCATATTATATACTTTCGTTATTTTTTTACTACTATTTATATATATAGTTATTATTTGTTAATACTAATATTATATGGGTAACAGGTAAACGGTAGTAGTTACTTAGTACTTACTAAGTTACCCATATGAAAGTATAGACCTATATACAATTATGCAAATAATAACTATTCGATAACTACGTCAAACTCTCGTGCAGTACGGCCAGAGGTGAGGGGTCCAATTATCTATATAGTAAATAATATGTATTACTTTTTATTTATTACTATGCTGTTATATTTTAAATTGGCCCCAATTCGCATCGGCCCAGGTGGCAACTTCCACGTCGCCACCCTTGCCAGTACGTCATGAATCATCATGATATACAATAAAAAATAATTGATTAATTATTATTAGTCAAAGATTTTCAATTAATCTTGATTTGTTAACTTTGCACAGACTTTAGTTTACTATAAATTCACCCATATAATTTATCCTACTGTTCCTATTTTTATAAGACTGTTTGTAAAAAATACGTAGTGCGGACTATATGTTTTATACTGTTATACCTTATACGTTTCACAGTATGTAGATATCCATTACTAAAAAGCAATCGCGAAAACAATTTATTAAAATTGTTTTTTAATTTTCAAATCAATCCTGATTATTTATTTATTCATTAAACATAAAATATGTCGAATATGATATTTTTTTCTCAAACAGGTACGATATTATACAATAAACGGGTTGGATCTACTATTTAAATTCGATGATTAATTATTACTGTTCTATACTTAAATACTTCTTTGATATAGGTATACGTAACCGTAAAAGCGGATTGCCTTAACTTTTTACATAGCTCTATATGTTAGCCAGATATCTAAAATTATAATATTATTTACCTATTCTGATTAGTAGAGCATCACTATCGATATGAAAAAAGTAGATTAATGTTCAAATTTTCCCCTCAAGGCATAAACCTTATAATTACGCAAATACGTTTTTATCTAATTAGACTTGTTTTGGCTCATGATGGACAGACCGTGAAGGTTCAAACGTTATTTATTAACTCACCAGATATAGCCAGGTGTTTATATAATAATATGAACGTGTTTTATGCATGTGTGTATAGTATAATGAAGCTATTATTTCCCCCCCATATAACATTGTATAGTATGGTGCTAGTGTATAGTGTTGATGGAATATTCGACTTCTGTTCTAAACTCTATCTTAGGAGAAAAACGTGACTGACATAATATTACACATTTACACTTATATAGTTATATATACTTGTATACCTATACGCGTTACTACTAATTTCTTATTGTCTTACGTTTAGTTTTTTGGTCTCTTTGATCCGAACACATCTTTTTGAGATTTGAGGTTGTTAACACATCAATATTACTTATGCTATATTATATTATATATGTTATGCAGGTATTCCTGAGATAATTGGTTATACATACTTCTTTTTATTTTTTTTTATTAAGGAAGTTGTTCACTACAAACAATGGTTTAACCAATTTTGGAATTAATTAAGACGATTGAATTATAATATTTAGAAAACAGTAGGTAGGTAATACAGTATAACCACCGCTGTTGTTCTATCCGTCAACGTTGAGATACGCTTGAAAAATGAGCATTTGTTTCACAGTTATTTCCTTCCTCTATAGTTTATAAACTTACCAACGATTTGGCGTAAATACAGTGTATATAATGTATAAATCACTATTTTTAGAAATAAAACGAGTGAAATGTGAATTAGGTACCTAAACGTTAACAATTTCAAGTGAATTAATTTTCTATTGAATAATTTAAATGGATATATTTTTGTGGCCCACTGTGGTGTCTTCGTGAAACGAAAACCTACTCCGCAATACCGATTCTTACGTACAATTATCTAGAAATTTTGCGTTTCGCCGTTTATACGAAAATTATGATGTGACAAAAATGGAATAAATAAATAATAGATATAGTATTATAATATATATCTCCCTAGACCCGCTACTATATGAAGTCTATTTTTGTATAACAAATACCACGGCATACCTACAATTTACAAAGTTATAGGTAACTCTGTCGGTTGTGATCAATCCCGTCACAGAAGTATAGAATAGATCCCATCAAGATTACGTCCATTCGACTGTCAGAATACGCGTACGATTACGTCATGACGTATAATGTCTTGATTAGAACGCCGAGAACGCTTAATTTAATAACAAATCGAACAATAAAATAATCCAAACGTCTACGTCGACGTTCTGCCCCGGGAAACGATAGGTTTGATGCGAATACAGGGTTCAGAAAGCGTTCAAAAAAACAATACATTAATTATTAATATTAATTATCGTTCTGCCGTACCTGATGGGGTACCAGCTATACGTCGAGTTGTATGTGTGCTTGAACTATCGGCCGGGAGGTTTTCTAATTTCTCCTTTGAAAAAAAAAACCCGTATACACTCTTCGAATTACATTCGAGTCGTCATTATTGATTATCACTATATTATTATATCAAAGTAATTTGGATTGTGTGAATTTTTAATAGTGCCGTTATTATTACACTCTTTTTCAAAGCTATTTGTTCGCGAATTTATTGTACGGATGTGGTCCATCCTCGGGAATCGAGATAGTACGATACGACCATATCCGGGCCGTCCCTTTGAATAACCGCATAATATTATATATTACTATACCGCATATAACCGGAGTCCAGGCTCGACGATTTAACGAGTTAATGACCCCCCCCCCCTTCCCTTGACACACAAACACATCACACGCGCGAGCCAATTGATGAGGCGGCCGCGGCGTATTGGTTTACATAATATTATTATTATTATTATCGTGTGTGTATATTATTATTATAATAATAATGCAGTCATTACTATAGAACGTATTGTCGCGTGTGTATAGACGGTCATTACGGTTTGTTTTCGTTTTTTTTTTTTAAACACGTCCACATAACATCATGTAATACATTAGAATTATTTTCGTGAACTTACTTCTTTCGGACCATTCTCGGTCGGTCCTACTGTGGCGCGTTCGGTTAGCGATTTCAACTTACTTACAGACCTGCATAAATAATTTCTGCCTGCATTACGTGCACTTGCGCACCTGCGTCTTCAACACTTCAAAGTGTTTCTCTGTATTTTAAATTACCGTTTATCTTGAAAGTTTTGTCTCTCCTCACTGAAACGAAAAACGAATCACAAATGTAATATAATAAACACATTATTAAAATAATATGAATATAATATCGAATGAAGAAAAGTGTTCTAGTGTACGTAAATATAGGTATTTATGATTAGAAATAATAACTCACAACAACAACAACAACAACGCTGTAGGGTCGGTGTTCCCATACCTTACGGTTGTCGCATTTAAGGGTTCCGCGCCATCCGTCGCCGCGTGTTGTTCGGCAGCGTGCGCGCGCGCGCGCCTCGTGCCGCACGGCCGTAGTCGCACGCCGCAGTCGTCGCTTCAGTCCACTCCGGTCGGCCGGCGCGAGCATGTGTACCGTCCCGCTGTGACATACCTCGTATCAGTCAGTGGTCAGTGCACGTCGTCACCGGCAATCGCATCGTAACCGTACGTCGAGCCCTATAGCGAGTGCACAGCGATGATGTACCAGCATCGGAACAACCACCACCATCACAACAACACGATCGGGCGTACCGCCGTGGCCGCGGATCCGGCGTCCACCGCGGTGCACGACGGTTTCGCCACAGTCCGCCGGCCTCACCATTACGTCGGCCACAAGCGGAGGCGCGCGGCCACCGCAGCCGTAGGCTTGCACCTGGAACCGGTCAGCGAGCACGTCGGTTGCGAGCAGCTGCAGTTGTACGCCGGCCTCAGGCCCAAGTCGTGCGCCGGGGCGGCCGCCGCGCTGCCTCCTCTGCCGTCCGACGTGCCCTGGTGGGAAATTGCCACCCGCCGGAGGCCCAAGAGTTGTGCCGACTTTGGATCCGCGTCGTCGGACAACACCGAAAAGGTGAAAATTAATTTATAAAATATTTAACTGATCTAAATTGCTAAAAAAAATTCGGAAGTCATTTTAGTTTATTGCAATCGATTGTGATTAAACGACGATAGGTGCGCCGCTCGGTTTCCCGCCATATCGGCGCCGGTAGTGGCCATACAGAGAGAGGTCCAAAATTGTCAGAAAGACAGAAAAATATACCATACACTTTAGATCTCATCACAATAGTCACAGATATTGAAATACCTGTCTCTCTCTCTCTCTAAACAATGTTGGCACAATGGCACTTGGTGACCTATAATAGCATTGAATGGGGGTGGTGGTGCGTGGTCCGTATATTAATATGTCTATATATAGAGCCTTTGAAACCCGACGGACTGGCGACGGTTCTACAAGGTCAACTATATACCATTGACGATGGTCTATGCATTTTTGTCACCTCTCATGCACAGACACGTTCTGGACATTTTTTCGGTCGTCTTCTTAGCGAAATCTCCGGCGGCGATCTGGGTTCTGGTGTACCTACACAAATCATAATAATGGTTTACCTTATACCCCCCGCGGTCAAATCCGGTGACCGAACAGGTACAGGACACCTGTCGCCGTATAGTTATTCTGGATCCTATTTATTTTTTTCCGGAAATCCGTCCACCACTGTGTGCAACCATTGATTATTAATACAAGTAATCAATGATGCAACATATTATATGTTAATATAAATACCGAACACGTAAAAAGCGTGAAAATCCCATTTTTATTATATATATAAGGGGCCTTCCGCACACAATGATAAAAAATGTTGTTACGAGTGATGTATGTATATATGACGTGCATTCGTGTAATAGTGTGCATTATTATTATTATTATTATTATTATTTTCACGGGTTTATTGTACCTATGATTTAAATTGCTTTTCTTATTTTTTCAAAGCCAATGATTTCGCTATTATGTTTTTTGTATTCCGTCAATTGTCAGTCCGTCCTCGTTCCAACCACTCAACGCGTGATCGCCGTCATTGTCGGTCGGTCGGTTGGCATATCGTATGATAATATGCGACATGTCGTGTCTAGGGTAACATTATTTTTTTATGAAAATTTGTTGGCATTCTATCAAAATCGTAATGAAGACAGATACCGACCGCGATAATGTCACTATAAAATATCGCATTTATAATCGATTTTTATTTTTTATTTACGCACCTATACTTACATCATACCTAATGACTATTATAATTGCATTAATTATAAATATTTTATAATTGTACGTATATCTTAGGTATAGGTACCTCTATATTATTATTATTTATTAATTATTATGAATAATGACGTAAACTACTATTGCCTATATTATATACGCTACGAAATTGTTGTCGTTTCAATCGTCGGAAAAAACCGTTTTTTAATCAAATATTATTCATAATATTGCACATCGAAAGAAATACACCGTCGATTTCTCATAGATAATACTTTAATATAAAATACACTCGCACGCGCGTTTCGACGTCTGTTCAGGCCCGTACAATAACAATATATCATATATTGTGTCGAATAAAGGTATTTTTTTTTCATCATTAAAGATGAACACGCTACCTATATATAGGCGTTAATTTATTATTATTAAAAAATGAACAATTATAATTATTGTTGTTGGTATCAGACGTGTACACTAAAAAGTGTGTCGTGTTATCATCGACCAATTCATTAGCTCCTCGACCACTGCGCGCAAGTAATTTGTAGGTCAGTTATTGTGCAAATCTGTCGGACGTTAAACGACTCGAATTTGTGTTATTTTAATCAGTCTCATTATATTCTTGTCGAATGTTGTTTGTGTTCGGCTTCGATGAATAAAACTGGCGATTGTATAAACACGTCGTCCGAGTAAAATGTATAGATTGATGCTGTCTGAATAAGAGATACTTCGCACGTGCAGCGTACACGTCGATAACAATATTTGGATCGGTGAAAATTCGAAAATGATTTATCATTCGCGCATAACAATATCTACTATTATTATTTATATGTATTCTTAAATCTTATTTATTCACTACAATATATTTATAACGGTCGGACGTCAGGTGTTATTAATAAAAAAAAAAAAGGACTTGGATCATTATTGTTATCTATCGATTATCAGTTATATTTTGTTAACGCGTTTTATATATGTATAAAAAACGTATGACTATTGTTGCGATTCACTGACGAATTCTACTCATGCCCGAGCCGACTACTTTTTACTACATTTTAAAACGATCATTATCACAATAATATTCTAAATCAGTTCCGAGTGTATAGTTATTATATTTTAGACACATCGATAACAGTATTTATTTTTATTCCGTGCGACGCGTGTGAAATGTTTTAAAATGGTAAACGTAGGATGTGGGAAGTAATAGAACCATATAATATTGTTGGAGTGTGTTTAAATTAAATAACACTCAAAACTAAAATTAAAATTAAAACTTCAACATTATACTAACTACAATTATTATTCTTTTGTCGTGTCTAAAAAAACGAAATAAAACATTTTTGTTAGATTTAGCCGTTTTGGTGTACCAAAAATTATAACCGAATAAATTGTACTTTTGAGTTCCTCCTCCGACTCGACTGAATCAGTTTAATATTATCAGGTATTATTTTTTACAGTAACATGATACAACGTGCATGTATTTAATCAGTGGCAGCTACCTTTATATTTCTATAAGTTTATCAACATAATATATTCAAACGCTCCACATTATTTTCTTTTAGACTTCAATCATTAATTTAGACTCGAAGCACCACATTTTGATGTTAAATAGTATAATATGTACTTTTTACCTAACCCTTAGATTATAATATACAATTATTATTATTAGGTTAATTTTTTTTAAATCGTTTATTATATTATCGCTTGATACGTTTGCGTTCACACTGTATATAGGAGTGGTCTCTGTATGTACGTGTATAGAACCATTTCGAAATACATACTTACCATGAACGGTACGAAATAAATAAAATTAACTACGTTTGTTTCAAGAGTTATACACATATATATATATATATATAGGAAACTGTATTTTATATTATTTATTAGTACCTAGTATAGCCGCAGTCGCAATGTCACATTGGAAATCGTAAGACGTGTATCATTTTTCATTAATTATTCTGAACTTGAAAAAAGTTCGAAAAGAGCACCAATTATGACTAAATTTACTCCAGTCACACATAAGTGGGTACGTTATACCTGAAATGATTATTATTATAAAATATTGTAAAATAATACACAATATATGTTATTGCATATATTATGAGGTATTGGGTATTTGGGTGTTGGGAAAAAAATTTACATTTATGTGAAGTCGTATGATTAAAGTATGGCAAATGAACGCTTTTGGTTTTTAAAAATCTTCAACGTCGTATTCAGACTTCAAAGGTATCACTTCACTACAAACAAGCCCGTGTCGTTTAATGACAAACGATTTGCTTGATTATTCAGTTTTGCCTTCAATACTACAATATAATATAGTACAAGACACGTATGCCACGGACGGTAAATTTTGTATTCCGCGACGAATCGCTGCTTTTGTGACATATAGAAATCAAAATAATTAATTATCAATAAAGTAAAAAATCATTCTATCGTGTACTGTGTGTAGTGTGTGTCATTGTATCAATATGTATGTATTATAATATGCAAGCAATAAACCAAGAACTAAATCAAATATGACACTTGATCTGTTCTACAACATTAATAATATTATCGTAGTCTGAAATTAATCGGTTGTATTTTATATTATATATTATATTAATATATTATTGCCTTCAAATTTGAAACAACTTGATTTTTATGGTTGTAAATAATTAACAACTGCTAATAACGTTTTTCAATAATAATTTCTGATACACTAATCAAATTTTATAATTATTAGTTACTCATTAAAAATTAAAAAATTATCTTAATCGAAACAGTGACTAATCACAGATATATAAAGCTATAAATCTTTGTAATTTTAATGTAATGTATGTATAGGTGTATCGTACACACTCGTGAGTATAACGATGAATTAGTTTCTGTGAATAGTAATAAATTACAAAATTGAAAATATTTACGTTCTATTAAAAAGTCGGACGAAACGTTTTAGTTATTAATATCGACCAATGACTATTTAAAGCTCAGCATCGATCTTATAATATTATGTACCTTGTCCAAATAGATACCCATTTAGTATTTCTTTGTTTAATCGGATACGGGCAAAAACTATTCGATAACAATGAAACGACTTTTTAATAGTTATCACTTTAATACCTATCACTATTAACCTATCATATTTACGTTGACGGGAGTTAAATAATATACTGCTGTTATTACATTTGTTCTGGGCCCGTTTGATATGATTGATTGTTATTAAACTATACTAACATTACTAGTCCGTATTTCCGCGTTAGTTTTTTTTTTTTTTAATTTGTACACCGCTATTTTATGTATTATTTTGTAGACAGTACAGTGATATATAAGTCGTATAAATATACTATAATTAAATATGTATTATATATTTTTAAATATTATCGTATTTCCATCTCGAACTTATCGACAAAAACAATGTCTTGTATGGTTCCTTGTGCGATTTAATTAAATCCTAACGTACATGTATTGGTAAGTACTGCGTGTTATGTTTTCGATTAAATCTAATTTCGTTTATTTTATACACCTATACTATATAATAATAATAATAATAATATACGTCATTAATGCCGTACGATAATAATGGTCTATCACACAACAACAATGGTATCGTAAAACGAAATCTTTTACATTTTATTTTTAAAGTTTTTTTTCGAAAGACGTCATGTCAAAGCACGCGTTATATACATTTAGTATATTATTATAATACGCACAGGGCTCCTCTACTCGCTATACTTCATATATATATAATAAAATATAATTCAATATCGTACACGATCGATAAGAGGAGAGACCAACGAAATATTATAACATATACAACAGACATCGTCGTGGTGGCCGTAGCGGTCATA